AACACCATTTACTGCAGAAATTTCCGATCATGAGAATTAATCGCCCGGCAATGAGGCGATCGCACGAAAACTGATCCATGGATTTAACGTTTGATGGATTATACGAATGGAAAAAATGGATATAAGTTCCATTATCTTTCGCTGGCAATCGATAGTAACCTTCTTTCATATATTCTGTTGCATCATCCTAACCCTAGAAGTTTGCGGTCTTAGATAAAATTGAGAAATTACTTTTTACTTTATTTCGAATCAATTTGATCCGACTATAGAATTTTTAAATCTATGAATAGCGAGATGTAACAAGCACGTAAAATATTTTTTCGCTTCTTTTTAAAGGCCGCTATTTGCAACAAAATACTTTGTGCGAGCAAATTGGGATACGCGATATTAAAATACAGCGAGTAATACTTCAAAGATGATTGAACAGGACTCTCAGTAAAATGGCCATGAGAGCGGATACAAATTTTCTCGTAACAATATTCTCGGTCAAAGGATTACGTCATAAAGACATGCTATTATACATACAGCGATGGGGAAATAGAAGCGAGAGAGGGAGAGGCGCTATATTACACTCTATCGCTATCAGACATGCATGAAGTTCTATCACTCGTGCATGATTGTGAGCGCAACGTAAATGACTAGTGTTGCATATGTTTGCATTTTCGCACAACGTGGCTCATAAATATGAAAGTAAGTTTCGACATCCTTCTTGGAGAAAATTGCGTCAATACGCGACAACATGATTCGACTGCCAGCTCTCGCTGGATTGCGATTCCAATGTGATTCTTGCCCAATTTAAAATCTACACGCGTAGTCGACAGCAACATTTGTCGTACTCCTATTGTTAAGAATATTCCAAATTTCAACAATTTACTGTCATTCACAAATTGAATAAAGTAAATGTTGGAAAAAAAAGTTACCTGCGCACAAAACCGCTCACGATTGAATGGAACTGTGCATGATTATTCTAACGCTTCTCTATCATGGATAAAATTCAAAGTGCACTCTGTCATTCTGTGGGCAATATTTCGCCGACACACGCATGGAGAACTTTTCTATAATTCAAATGTACTGGGACGAAGAATTTTACGTTTATTGTTAAAGTTTTCTGCAAATTTGTTTTATACTATTATCGTCAACTATCATACATATGTACAACGTTTCAAGGGTAGCTGCACCCCAATTTTTTATGCACATTACGTGATGCTATAAAAAACAAAAGAAACACCAAAATATCAAACTGAGAGGGAAATGGAACAATCTTTTTACGAGAAAACTTACGTTAACCATTTATAGCGTATTTCTTCTGCTTTCTCTCCGAGATATTCCGCAGTTCTCCTAAGAGAAGTAAGCTGTTTTATAAACTTATAAATCTCCCGAGTATATATATTTCAAACATACAAACGTAAAGAAAAGAAGTTAAGTTACTATGCTGCATAAATTCCAATGAACTCCTGTGGCGATTTAAAAAACACAATAAAATTGTAGTTACTTCCGTGAACTGGCTCTGTCATCGTTATTATAACAACATTACGTTCTTCTTTTCAGTATACAATTCAATATACTGCTTTAAAGGATGCATAAAATTATTTGCCAATTATTTGCGCTGCTCAATTCGAGAAGTCAAATATTTGTAATATTACATGAGAGATTCTAGATATAAACATATACTCGCATTCCCGAATTGATCGAATATTGCAAGCAGAATTATATCACATGATTATTATTTAAGACGTCCATAACTCATGTTAATCCCATTATATGTAGCTAGATATATATAGTTAGACTGCTAAATTTGTCAAATCTTATCTTATCATTGATCATTCATATCTCCTTAATTCTCGCTTAATAATCTTCTCCATAATAGATCATATTATATTCCGAGGAAAATCTAACAGAAATAGAGAAATGTTGAAGGGTCTTCATCGGGGAAAGTTTTGGCTGCGTAGTAACATTCATAATATGTCGTACCATCTTCCGCGGAGGCTGCCTTCCGCTCTAATATTTTACGACGTTAATATTTTATGACGAAGCCGGCGCAGACTATAGTGGAAATGACACGCGTGTGGCATCTATAATATTATTGCACATGAGTACAGAGCAATAGAGCGAGACACATGGGGCGGACCCGTCGTGGAATTAATCACCGCAAAGACCGTGCACGGTACCTATATACGAGTCTGTCGTAACCGGAAGGACCCTTTAACGAGATATCATTTGCTCTGTACTCCGTAAAGCCCGACACGAATCTCCGGCACTTTCTAATGTACTTTCGCTATTCTCGGCAGCGAACATTCAACATCTACTAAAACTCGTTTGAGGGGATGTCACCCATAATTCATTCACGTCACATCTATCAGCTAATAAAGTGGAGTAATATTTTCTCGACACCGGTATCCCAATGTTGGTGTCTGCAAATTAAAAATCGCGAAGCTTAGATTGGTTTTTTTTTTTCAACGATCAGTGTACGGTTTACGTTGGATACACACATGTAATGATGGATAACTCGTTGGTAAAAATAAAAAAGTTAGCGTTATAAAAGCGGTGGAAAATTGCGAATCTTGCCGAGCGCGTAAGCGAGATTGAAGCGGCACCCGTTTGCATCCTGCATTGTAGCGAGCAAGTCGTAATTGCGCGTTGTCGAGAGAACACGCTGTTTCGAGCTCGCGTTAATAACGGGCGAGCGCAGCATGATTTATATCGTAGCCTATTTAAGTGGCGATTAGCGCTTCGCACGGAGTTACGCGTGCCAGTCGTCCGCTTAACAAGCTTAAACTTAAATTACCGTATTAATCGTGCAACATCGTCGGATCTAACGGAGTAGCCACACCTGAGCGGTCGAATGGTACATACATCGGTCGATCGCAAATACACTACCCGATAGTCCTGGAATCTCCTAAACTATTATTGCATTAACCGAAAGCTCGCGCGTACGACATCTTGAATTTTGATAAATTTGCTCAAATTACAGCATCATCTACAGACATATGTCGTTGCGCTTATACATGCATGCATGCATATTCGACGGGAAGAATATTTCGAGGATAAGAGACCGAGTTAACGGAAGAAAAATAAAATCCTAAGGGAAGCTCGCGAGTTGTACCGAAAGACTATTCCGATGTAGGCTTGCGCGATCATAAATTCTACGAAACAACGGTACATTCAGCCAAATTATACATTGCATAAAATATTCCGCCTGGTTTCTAGCCCGAAAATATTTCATGTGAGATAATATCCTCTTTTCTTCTGGTCTGTTTCTGTTCTTATTTCGTTTCACTTGACTGTAGAGAGAAAGAGACGTGGGCAGCAGGGATTGTATCAGAGAAAGATGAATAAATAGAAGAGAAAAAAGAGGACTGCTCCAATACGTTCATATATGTCAGACAATGGGAAGACTATGACTGATGAAAATAAAGCAATTCGTCTCAATATACTAAAATTATCGAAATTATCGCGAATAATCTTCTTTTCAAATCACTAACTAAAATTCTTGTTTTTTTGTTGTGCTGTTTTCGCATCGGCAGCAAGAAACAAAGGTGCAATGAAAGAATGCTGTATTTAATTAGCGTTTCTTTGTCAGTCGGAAAAAGGAATCTTACGGTCTGGTTGCCACGTATGAAAGAAATTCGCGGAAACGCGGCTTTTATCATGAAAATGTAATGGTATGGTTAATTAGCTTTATAAAGTAGGGGCAGACTAATAATACATTATAATACTTATAAATACTTCAAAAGATGCACCTCTGTAATTAAGATAATTTTTCGTAAGTAGAGGAAAAGACATCCTGTGTCCTGTACTTATACAGAAATAAAAAATCATAAAGTGAATATACTTCAAAGTTCCGTCATGAATAAAAGTTATGCAGCGGCGAGTTCCGTCTAGAGAATCACATCGTGTGATCGTTTCCATTTTCCATCTACGTGAAACGTCAGAACACGTCCGTTTCTTGTGAGACGTAATAGATACAGTGGTCATATCGTTGAACCACGGAAGATAGCGAGATTAGATTTACTGGACATGTTCAACGGGCCGTCAAATCGAATCATATATTAGGAAATTTTTTATGGATATTCGTCAAATCAAAATGCCTATATCGTGTCACACTAAAAAAGATTTCCAAGTAAAAATATGACATGATAGTGGATGAAAACTTGTGAATATCATCATAGTATTGCCAATATCTTCAATGAAATCAACTCAGAAATTTTTCAAATTGTATCGAAAAGTTGCATCGAACTCGAAGATTCTTTGACGTTCGATATTCGAACGAATCGGCGCAGCAGGACACAGTGTGAATCTGTTGCAAGCAGGCAATTGGAGTGGAAAAGTTGGACAGACGAGACTCTCGGTTTAACCCAAGCACGAATTGAAAATCTTTCACTGACAGATAGTCTACTGATGCTTCAACTTTGAGACGTAACACAGTTAGAGGAAACTACAGAAGGAGGTATTTTAAATCTAATATTTTGCATGAATATAAAGTAGAATTTTTAATATTTTTTCTTCTCTTGTTTTAAGATAATCTCTCATTTTCGGAATAAAATACAAAATAAATATAAATATAAATACGCGCGTAAATGACATTTTCTCTTTACCTTCATTACGATTACAAAAAATTAAATATTTCTCATATATTCGTATTATTTTTATGCGACAATTTCGTGAAAACAATTGAATATCCAATTGAGGGTTTGAGAAAACATTCCATCACAGAGGTGAAAATAAACAATCGAAGTAACATTGCCGCTTAAATGTTTCCAACTACTGAAAACATCGAGCGAGAGGTGAATCCCAGCTGAATCAGATCAAAGGATAAAGTCGTCTTGTTTCCATTGTCATCCAACACTTTGATCTCACATATACGCGATACGTTACTCCTCAACGAAGGACAATGGTATAAAGTTTCCAGTCGTTCTCAATCGCTGCGAGTTTTGAAACATTGTAATAGGATTCCTCGCGTCGCGACTCGCGTAACATAAAGGATTTATACAGATACTCACCTGACGTGGAAACAGGGATGAAAAGCAGCTGGATTATCCTGTGCGGAGAAGTTCGGCAAAGTACCATGAAGCAGAGCAAGCCGCACCACAAGAAGTATGCCAAACTGCAAACATTAAACAGTCGATGAATTTTCATATTGTTACAGAGAAATATTTTTCTTTGTGAAACATTCAAGAGTACTTTATACCAATGTGAAACGTAGATTCAAAAGCTTTATTTATTACACAAGTTATTCTTACACAAGTATAACAAATCTGTTTTCTTTATATCTTTAAATGCTAGCAAGAGAAACTTCAATTGTTAGAAACTTCAATTATATAAATATCTTATATATAATCATGTGAATATAACAAATGTGCAATGTCAATCAAGTATTTATTTTGAATTAAGATGCATTTGCATTGAACTCATTTCCATTCGCAACTTTTACATTTCATGTATTTTATCCTAATTGCATTATAAATTATTCTTACATTTTGAAAGATAAGAGAACGAAATGAAACAAAACAATCGTAAGAAACTCTGTACTTTTAGACAACTACTCAAATTGCAATTTATCGATCCACTGCGCAATATGATGAAGACATAAAAGTTTTTACGCAGAAATATAGAAACTTTTATACGATTCTCTGTAATATAACGAAATAAATCAAAATGAAGTTAATAAAAGATGGCGAAGACGAAATTTCACGTTCTTACGTATGTCTACCATGTTCATGATATTGTTATTTTTTTCCTCTTTCAATTACCTACAATTCATGAGATATCCAGTGGGGAAGCTAATAGGTTTCGCAATAATGCTATTAGCGGGCGTGACATGTATCACAGTCACGTTTTCTTAAATGGTTGAATTAAGTAACGCGATTCGCGAGTCTGAATAGTAAAGAAGGAAACGTATTCGCTTCGTAGTCCCCGCCACGTCGAGACGTCGTCACGTTCACGCTGGGGATGACACGGGTCCGTCCTCACATTTCCGTCACGTTCTTCGCAGAGCTCGCTAACCCAATAGACGTCCGTACCATTCTCCGATAGACCACTCTCCATCCCTTATTCCGGAGTTATCCGGGAGCATCGCTGGCCCTCTCACTGTCTCTCCGCCTTTGTACCTATGTCGGAACCTCTCTCGCTCACATTCTTGTCGATGGACAGACGTAGTGGTTCCGGAAGGGTTGGAGAGCCGGACAATATCTGCCATTCGAGGTATTCATATCCTCCAGGATCGAAGTCGGACAGACTAGGATAGCGTTCGTCCTAAAGCGATCATACGAACACGTCGTATATACGTAATGCCGTCATCGAAACGCCCCATGTATATCCCGTCGAGACGTCCGACACCAGCGGTGTCGGTCTTGTTCTTCGATGGGAAGCTCTTGGAATATTGTATTACGCCACCACGAGATCCCGGTTGACCCGCGGAACACGACGAGCGAGACGGAAATTCAATTCCGATAAACATCCGATGTGCAGAAAATATCGTATCGCATATCAATGCAGCCTTCCTCAACATTGCAAATATTTAACCATGAATAGATATATGGCCATAGCTCTTTCCCCATAATATTCAAATTAAATAGTAAATAAAAAATGATATACATATAATAAAGATAATATTGTACAAGATATTATACAAGAAAAATATTATACAAGATTAATTATAATAATAGAAAATATTTATTATTCTTTCTTAAAGTTTCTTTTAATTTTTATTTTTTTAAGATTCTGTGAGAACGCATTTCTTACTTCTTACATGCAATTAAATATTAATTATTGACTAATTCAATAATGATAAAGTAACCGAAGAAAGCAATTATAATAATGCATTTCTTATCGTTGATATATAACAGTTTCGATCATATTATCTTTGAACACAACATCTTAAGGGAGAGTAAGAGAGAGACAAACGAGAGTTAAACGCTAAGCTAATCAGATAACACTGAGCATAGCATTGTACAATCAGTAAACAGCACATGTAGCTAATGGATTGGCCTATTGATTAGGTTTGTCACCTCGATGTTAGCAGTTTGATGCGTCTTTAGCACTTAGCCTTGACTCCAATGTAGGAGCAATAACATTTCAGTAACGCAATAAGTTTCATTACCAATCGAAAAATATTTTGAAGCAAGTTTATTCGCAAATTATTTAAAATGTATTTTAAAGACTATAATTTGTTAGAATTTAAATTAATTTTTCTGTTTATTTAAAAGTTAATTTCATCAGTACAAGTGTATAATATATTCGTAAACAACAGCAAAATATTATTTCACAATAGTATAATCTTTTATTTCGATTTAAGAAATTTATATTACTAAATTAAAGAGGAATTGATAAATTTGACAGATATTTAATGCTTGGAATTAAGGTTGAAATAGTACTTATTCTTGGATATTAGTGGTCTTTCTTGATGATGAAGATTTGTGAAGCATCGTTGAAAACGACGTACTTGAATACGTGTAAGTGCTATGAGCTCGGAAACGACAGGGGTGGAAAGAGATCCGTAATATGTAGATAACTGTGTGAGGGTAGGTCGTGTGCAAGCCCGCCTCCCTCGTTCGCCGGCATAAATTAGCATAACTCAGAATCGTATTCGGTTAAAGTATCCTCTATGCGCAACCTTTATTTCTTTTATTGGACCAAGTGATTGGGTCGTGTGTCGCTCTGACTTACACAATATATTTTAAAGGTAAGAATTACGTTATTTAGCAATTTCTGTACCCGAGAAAAAAATTATACAATTTAATTTATTGCCTAATTATTTAAAACTACTATTACAAAATTTTAATGCATTACTCAAAGTTTATTTTATAGAAAAATGAAGATCGTACAATTATTATTTATCATTCTTTCTAACAGTTGTTAAATATATTCTTCAATTATCATATATATTCTTAATAATCATAAAATATCTGTTTGCTAACGAACTCAATAATATAACAATTACCATGAAACATACCACTTTCGAATCTTTATTGAAGGCATTCTTGTTTAGTAGGTATGCTTGATACAATGCCGTCTAAATTAATTCACGATAATAAAGATGATGAGCGTCGGCGCCGCAAAAGCCTCTGTTTCTTAAGCATGACGATCGTAAAATGCCGAGGATTTAATAGCACTTCATAAACTCCTTTTAGAGGTTACATGATGTCGTAATAATCGACCAGCGTGATTCCGATGAATCCGTGCCGAAAATACGGAATTCACATTCTCTATCGTGATAAAATTTATCTCTCATCTTACTCAATTTTTTAAATTTAAAATACTTCATATTTACATAGATTTTGCTATAAAAGAGCGAGAAAAAAGAGCTTTTTAAAAAGCTTTAATCATTTTTAAAAATACTTTAAATTTTATTTAAAAATTAAGTTACCAAGGAAGATTTTAAATTAAGCGCATAAAATGTTTGATCAAAATTAAATTATGCATATTTTCTGCTTCTTTGAAGTATTCAGTCTTCTATCAAGTTAAATATTCAATTCAGTATTTAACGAATATTTAATTTACAATCTAATTTAAATGAATCTTGAATGGAAGATAATTTGATCATGTAATTGTCGCTGTTATTTAACAAAACTAATTACCAGAAAGCTGATTATTATTGTGGATATCAATGGCAAGCTCGTGCCATATTCTCGATTGTCGAGCGTCATACAATACCCATTTATGTGAATCATATATCATCCTGTTGATCTTTTGAAACTGCCGCTATTTCATTCCACGCTTCGCTCGCTACACAGTTTGTCTTGCTACATAGCAATTCAAGAGAATGTTATTTATTTTCCACGACCGTGAAGAGAAATTCTCGACGTTGAGTGTATCTATAGCAACGATCGTTAAATTTGCTTAAGACGTAAACTGCTGTAAACATCGGTGTCTAACTACAGTCGAGCGATAAAAACGAAAGATATCGGTCGTTAAGAATTAACGATGCGGACACGGAATAGAGGATCCGCGCTAATTCCGTGGATTATAGAAGAGCGACGATCGTGTTTTCTTAGCACGTAGGTAATCTCTTTTAGGAGTAACACCAAGCATACTGGTAGTAGCTATGCTACCACAACACGCGTATATATAATTACAAATAATCAACAAACATTTGATCAGAAGTTTTTTCTCCTTTTCATATAATTCAATAAACCTTGTGAATAACACAATCAAGGATAAATCAATAAAACACGATAGAATACTATTCAATTGCTGCCGAGACTTATTGAAACTTGATTTTTCTATTAATCCAATTATGTGATAAGTTGAGGGTGCGTGGATCTAAATGGATAAATATGGGGGCATTTCTACAATTTCCTGGATAGCAGAAACGCAGACATTGTCGTTAATACAATAATAATAAAGCCGGTCGCTCCTGCCATTCGTCTGAAAATTGTATGAGGTTTTCATGCATGACCGAATGTACATGGTTCGTTAAGAGGATTCAATCCTCTTTCGCCATTATCTACTCGTCTATACTTCGGATTGTTATATAATCATTCTTTTTCTCGCAATAAAAATTTTTAAATCTTTAAAAATATTATTGATCGCCATCAACAGTCGATACTAAAATTAATCTATTATAAAACTTATCATCGGACTCGCTTCAAAACACATGATTTTTATTATGATATATATTAATTTGTATTACGAGTTTGATCAGAGATTAAAATATAACCACATAATACGCTAATTATTATGGATAAATATATAGAAATGCACAGATTTATTTTAACTTACCGAAACGAGTAATGCTGCAGCACGCCTTGAGAAATATCTGGAATCGTCGTTCCATTTGGCTTCGAAAATAGACCTGAAAAATAAATGTATAATACATGGGTATAATCTCTTTTCGCTTCACAAGTTATATGCCTATTATTAAATGAGCTAAATACTTTGCCAGTATAATATTACTATGAGACAAATAATGCATCAACATTTGAAAAAAGTTTAATTTCAATATAAAATTCGAACATCCCGAAATATTTTGATCGTATTTTCTACCGTTATGAAAAACACATTCACCGCTTTGTAACATGCGACATAGAATTTATGATAATTCAACTGCCGCCATGTTATTTATGACGAGAAGCAAAGAAATTTTGTTCATTTTACGATTATTTTTCGTCTAAGATCCAACTATTTCAAATGTCTTAAATTACATTGATTCTAATGCAAATAAGTATAATTGAAATCAAGATAACTATATCAATTTAAAGTTTACTTCGCGACATCAAACCTTACATTTCCGCGCTAGAAGGTACATTACGCTCCAGCGCTGAGGGCTTAAACACTTACCTCTTGATTGAATGCCAGGAACGACAGAGATCGTAAAGAAGGTTTAGTGCCAGAACAGTAACGCCAGTTTCCTTCGCCAACATCGACAGGGCACCCAGACAAACACTGGACCATACGTAAGCTGTCTGTTGACTGTAAAAAAAAGAGAAATTTAAAAATTAAAAAAGATAAAAAACATCGTACTCGTAAACATAAACTAAATTATATTTTTTACGGAATTGAAAAACATACATCAATGACTATTTTTATTTTCAGACTTGTCTAAAGATATTATAAATTCAATTATAAAATAATTATAGACTCGAAATTAATAATTGCATATAGATTAGCGTAGTTTGAATAGCGTAGTTTAGTTTAGTTAATTTCTTCTTATTATTAAAAAAAATATACATTAAAAGATTAGATATAATTTACACAAATAAAAAAAAACCACAAAAATTAATGTATTTATAATATAAAATAATGTATTATAATGTAAAATCTTTTCATATAATTTTATTTTGCACAAAATCATATTTATTTTATTATTTTATAATAAATTTTATAATAAATTTTAAATTATTCTATAATAGATTTTACACAAAATCATATTTATTTTATTATTTTATAATAAAATAAATATGATTTTGTGCAAAATCTATTATAAATAGAATAATTTAAAATTTCATAAATTCTTTATGTAATGATAAAATAATATATTAATTTCTACAGATATTATATATAATAATAATATATTGATACACTTATATAATAAAATAATATATTGATTTCTACAGATATAACTTATATAATATTTCTAATATATTTTTTCTGATCGAATATAAATACTGGTATTAAGAAACAATTCTCACATAGATTCAAAGACATGTAGGATTTATTCGTTTACGTCGGTTGGCATGTACATCAATCTACGTCAGGCAACAGATCCGTTACAAGGTGTCGCTCGGGATTTTAGGAACAACAGGACCAATGTGAAACTAGTCTTGTTGTTCCTAAAATCCTGAGCGACATCTTGTCCGCTGAGACCTCGGTAACTCACAGTTAAAAATGGGCTAAAGTGTCGCGGCAAAATGAAAGTGTTTCTTACAATTTACATCAAAGCTTTCTAAACAAGATTAATAGTAACTCGCTACGGCTATAGTAGAGAGCAAATGAGAATGTATTCATTTTATAGAAAAGTAAAATGATCGAAAGAACGACGAGCGCCTTGAATAAACCAAATGTATAATTGGAATTAATTATCGGTCGCTTATTCACCAAGGGATTTAAACGCGCAACGTAAATCGTTGAGAGACACTAAATGAAGGTGGAGTATCTAAGAGACACTAGTTAGAAAAAAAAAGGTAAGTATAGAACGGGGCGATGAAGTAAAAATGGAAGGAAACGAAAGAGAAAGAGTACTCAAAGGCAGCCAAGAGTAATCAATTTCTCAGGTTCGAAGACAAGCATCTTACCCTCCTGGCCAGCCATTGGCCGCTTGACGCTAGTCCTACAGACGAAGTTTTACCTTCTTGTCTTCTGCAACCGCTCTTTTATGTTGGAGCACGACCTCCATGAAAGCTTTTTAAAGCTTTTGCAATCGAGTTCATTTACAGATTTTTCGTCGTATATATGAAATTTGTTTTAAGTATTAACGCGGCAGCTTTCCTATAGTTAATTAAATTTATTTCAAAAGTAGTATAAGTGACGGAATACATCAATTGAATTAAAATGAATATCGCTAGAATAATCTCCCAGAAACATAATTGAAATTGTTTTGTGCATAAAGTCATTCTTCTTCTAGCTCTAACACTGAAGATCGATGTGAGCGACCCCCGGGGCACATTTACGACGCTCCCGCATAGCTATGGTAGTAGTTCGTGGAGTAAATTAGTTTAGTTTATAATTTTCAGGTTCTATGTTCATGAAAACGAATGGGGGTCGCTATTTTGGCGTCAGACTAGCGATGTTAAGCGTCGCTCGACATTCTTGACGTAGACGCAGTTTCTAAGTTCCCTTGGGTTTACAAAAGGTATTCTAGATCAACTTCGTAACTCATTAGATATGTATGCGTGAAATAGAGCAAGTTTTCTTTTCTCTCTCTCTCTTTCTCTTTCAGCACAATTGCCAAATTATCTTTTAGATAACTCTAAAATTTTATATTTATATATATGTATGTTATTGTTATATATATTTTTTGTGAAAAGATATGTATATATAAAAATTTAATCTATAAAGCGTTTGTGAGTTCGTATTTGCGTAAATGAAAAAGAAATTAAATATCAAGAGCCAACTAATCTAAAGTAAGATTATAGGAATTTAAGCCATACTCACCCGTGATAGGCAAGGAAGGACAGCAAAAAGAAAATGCACGCTAGAACGTCCGCTCTGCCTACGATGCCAGTCACCTGCAACATAAAATGAGATAAGATATAGTAATAATGTTATAGCGTCACAGTAGCATTGCTGATTGCTGCGATATATAAATGCCAAATATAATATAATTACTTGTATTTTTAATGGATATATATGCGTGTATATTTATATATTATATACTCCGATTTAAGATGCATGTGTACTTCATCTTATTTTCAAAAATGTTATTCATTCAACAAGTTGTGCTTGAAAGCAATTCATTGCGTTTGAGCTTCTTATATCTTAAGAATGAAAAGGAAAAAGTAGAAGCGTAACAAAGACTATGCCTAGATCCTCTGAGAAAATATGAAGCGACAGATATTGGATTTAGTGGTGTAAAACGAGAAAACTGATCCGGAAGATATATGAAGAAGCCAAACCAAAGATCTTCATAGCGAACGAGATGACGAACAAGACAAGTGAGTACATAAAAGTGCGAAAGAGAAACGAAAGTGGGCAGAGTTAAGATTGTATCCAAGTTATCGACAGTCTAACACGAGTGAATAACTGAGATTCTCAAGGATCAGCTCCAGCTAGAGAAGCCGACCTGCTACCGGAAGCTGGATTTAGCCATCGTATTCATCTCTCTTCCTTCCTTCCTTCCTTCCGTCCTACTGGGCTAGAGTACCAGGTGTACCTCTAAAATTTACGAACCCCGTCTATCACGGTGAAACGGCCAACCTCCCACCTCTTAACGAATTAATTCCACGGAGAATCGCAGGGATACAATCTGCCAGGGCAACAGAAATGCGAGACAGAAATGGCGAGAAATCAGCGAATTTCCGATGTAAAGTTCTTTCTGAAGAAACATGTTAAGATTTTTTTTCTTAAATCGAAACATTTCAGCATTTCGAATATCTTATTGAAATAATATGTACGAAACACTTCGGTCATTAACGTATATATGTTTGTGTATGTAATGTATTTTGAATTTACCATCCATTACCATATTGATTAAAACGTCATTAATTATATATTTGAATAATTTAATCTAAATATTTAAAATAATTTTCGCATAATGATATAGCATAAAGCTAAATTGATCGTAATTATTAAGCGCGAATTGTTGATGCCTTATTTAGCAATATATTATTTTCCGATATGCTTGACAAATAATTCAAAGATGCATTGAAAATAAACGACATTATGATTCATAACCGACGCTAAAATTATTATTCAGAATTGTAATTATAGATATGTCCGAAAGACATTGATGAATATACGCTTTCAGCGGTGTGCGAGAGCGCAGATGCAATTAATCATTCAATTATAGTAAAACAGTATCAGGGAGAAGAGTAACAATTAGCATTTATTCTTCAACTTTGACATAAGTATGAAATATGTGAAATACGCAAGTAAAATATGAAATAATTAACGATTTGTATAAAAAGAAAAAAAGAAATATTATTAGTATTATTACTTAAAATGTCTTTGAAAATATTGTTTTATATCGAACTCGAACATTCAAACAAAATTCACAGAAAATAAACACTCAGTTGACATTTCATTACAATCTCATTCTTTTTTGCCATATCTCCATTCTTGCTGCTCTTGTAGCAAGTAGACCCGGAGGAAATCTTGCTCGGGGAAACAATACTCCGTCAATGTCAGGGGGAATGAGAGTCGAGTCCGAGGCAGGCTCTCTCTGCTGTGAGCAAAGAACCATAACCGAAGGGTCTGCTTAAGATAACAGAGATTACGATGACCACTTTGCGATAGATTCCTTCAGCACCTGTCAGATTTATGGCGAAGGATAATGGGTAATTCGCTAAAACAAAGAATCTCCGGGAGACATTTAACCTAACTTGCAAATAATTCAGCCTTCGAACGATGAAGAAGCAAATGCAAAGTGATGCAAAAGATAAGTAAATGACAAAATCATTTATTATTAATTTCAACTTTCGTGTATTCTTTTTCAATTCATGTCATCTTTTTCAATTTATTTTACAACAATTATTTTTATTTCAACTATATTTTCAAAGCGTCGGTAAACTGCTTTTTATTCTTAAGCTGTTAAGAAACTTATATGATAATATTTTTTTCTAAAATATAAACTTGACATGGAAAAGATGGTGAAGAAGGTGAAGAAGAATAACGGTAATCACTTGCATTATACTACATAATTCGATGAATTTACAATATAGGTAAATACGAGCCAGTGAAGGTTGATGCGTTCGTTCGACTCGACACCAGTTTGCTCTAGTTTGTACTTAGTCGAACTCCATTAGCATCTCATTCGTTCTGGAGTTCTAATTGATTATATGAAGCGTTACACTTTCTTAAGTTTGCTCGTTATTTTAAGATAACTCAAAGTTTTTTTTTTCAAGTTTTATCCCTCTCTCGATTCTCTTTTATTTAAATATATTTTTTTATTCCTGGAAGCGTGGACTATTATTCAGATATTAATAACCAATTTCCGATTAACGGAATATCTATGCAAGTTTTATGCAGAATTTTATAAAATTGTTAATTAATTATAATTTTAAAATAATAAATTATATATATATATATATATATATATATATGTATATATAATTAAATTCATATAATTTAAATCCAAAATATATATAATTCAATCAATATATAAAATTCAATCAATAATATTATTTTAAAACCCTTTACATTTTTTATATTTTGTTTTTCAAAGAGATTTAAATAATATAATTAATTATTAAATTAGTTATATAATATATTATTAAATTCTATATTTTTACAAACTTAAATATGTTTCATATTAACATTATATTATCGAACAATAATCTAAAATTATAAGTAAATATTTATTTTTGCGTTTCTCTCAGTTCTATTTTTGTATGCAATAGAGGATTAAACGCGTACGTCTACGTTTGTATGATATTAATATTCTCGTAAATTAATTAATTAATATCGTCATTTAATGCGGTAAACCACAGGCAACAAGGGGAGAGAAAAGTAGTGATGTTATATCAACGATGACATGCACGACCTATAACATACGTCAAATTTTCAGTGTGAGTAACACAAGCTCTCTGTACGGGATAATGTCACAATCGATTATACATTTAGCGAAGATAATTCTGATAGAGCGCACAATGAGTATAACAACATTAATTAGCCGATTCGCAAATATTTCGCAAGTGATTTGTGAAATAAATAAGTAAATCGAATCATTATTTTAAATGTCATATCCCGCTCCCTACAAGTCAGTTAACTCATATTCATACATGTTACATAATTCTCATTCATTATATTATATATAACGTAAAATTGTATTAGACGAATGAAGATGAAGATGTAATTCACTCTCTCTGTCTCTCTTTTTTCTTTTGATTAGCGTTAATATTTCCGACTTTGCGGCATACATATTTTACCGATGATATAAAATTAAACGTTCAAATACTGTACGATGGTATGAGGAGAGACGCATGCCAAGCTCAATTCCTGGCGTTGAATCTCCTGTGAAGGAAACACTCTACGAACCGGAACGATCGTGCAGCTTCATGTTTAATTTGGCCTAAAACCGAGCTCTGCGGGTAAACCCATCCTCTCGAACACGTCCGTCCCTTTCCGCGCGCTCGCAAAATTCATCCCTTCCGCGGAACCGACGTAGACCGATAGGAGGGTTCGGGTCTCTCTCACTGGCAATATACACTGATACGGCAACGACGTCGTAACCACGAAACGACAGCTCGGTCACTTGGTTCCCATGCTGCAGCCTAAGCGCGAACGAGGCGCTTTTCGCGAAAGGAAACATTGCCGTGAAGTATAACGATGTTCAAGAGAGCATCTCGTTTGAAATGTACACGGTAGCGTGATTGCCTTACGCTGTAACAAGTTAACTGCAGTAAACATGTTTGCAATGTATATCCCTACTAACAACGAGCCTTGTCTGAAAATACTTTTTATTTATAGATTGATCATCCGTAAACTTGAAGTCACAAGATCTAAAACTGTGATACTGTAAACTGCAAAGTGGTACATTTAATTACATTTTATTAGAAAATAATAATAAAAACGATAAACATTAAATTATGAGAAGTGAGATAAGTGTTTGTTGTGTGAGATAAGTGTAATTAAAAATTACTTGTTGTTAAAAATTTTCCCAATTTGAGATTGGACTTCATTTTTGGCTTGATATAAAATTTATTTTGTCTGGATTACAAATATGTAATCTTCCAGATAAATCGATTGTCGTTTAATATTTTCATGCTTATAAAAATTTTTATCCTTTTAAAAACTACTTTTTTCACCTGTTCAGTTTCAGTTTCACCTGTTCAATTCAGTTCATTTGAAAACTTGTATATTCGTAATCTATGCAGCATAAACTTTATTTGGGCCAAAAATGTTCAATCTCGAGTTGAGAAAATTTGGATTATAATTATAATTCTTTTTTTTACATTAAATTTTTTTTATTATTATTTATGATAGTCACATTTTTCTACATACATATAAATATAAAATATAGAATACTTTTTCTTTTAAACTTATATATTTATATAATAGTGAAATATATACACATATGCTCGTGTATAATAATGCGTAACCATATATTTCTATATAATCTCATAATATAACAAGAATGTACAGTTTCGGTATAATCTAAATGTTCTGGGAACCGCCGTTATATTCGCGAGTATAAGCACGTACGAGAAGCCGGCAATATTCTGACCTCTTTAATATTATAGGAGGCTTTAATAAAGCCTGAGCTTCTTACAGACTACTGTTCGCTCTCCATTTTCTCTTTCTCGCGACAACGACGTCGTTAAATCTTTCTGAACTTGCTTTATAAAAGACTAACGAAGTGGACAAACGCCAAACCGATAATGAAAGAGACTCGATAGTATCATTCCTAAACAGTAGTATTATAAAGAAAATCTTATAATATTAACGTAGCAATTCATTTATTATTATGTTACGAAGCATAACAATAACTTGCATTTTTATATTTTTATTTACAATACTCCGAACATCATTCTGACAACCTTGTTAACCTCGTTTGTATTCCATATCAGTT